TATATATAGACTTATATATGATCAGATCTGATCATATATGGACTCATACATATAGGAAGGTAGTTAACACCTTAGCCACCAGAAGGAAGAGCAGTAGCTAGATCCTCCCCTCACGAAGTAATGCCTGACGGCGGTTTCCATGAGGGATTAGAGGAAAGAGGAAAGGGGTTTAGGGTTTAGTGGGTAGGGGCGTTAGCGTCGAGTTTTAGTATGACGCTGCGTCGAGTCGCCACATATCCAGGCCAACAACTATGCCTAGAATCCGTAAAAAGGATCCCCCCCCCAAAAAAAGGAAAAAAACACACACACACACACACACGCACGCACACACACACACATTCAGGAAAGCTTCCTAGGACCTCAAAACGTCAAGATCTGATGAGAACTCGATTTTCGAAAAACGGGGTAAAACCAATAATTTCCCGATTTTCGAAAAACGGGGTAAACCAATAACTTCTCGATTTTCGAAAATTTTCAATTTTCTTAGCGGGAAGTTAAAAATTAACTCATCAAAGACTTGGTTCAAAATCTAATTTAAATAAATAATAAAAACTGACCTGAGATAAGCAATCGCCCTTTTCTGTATTATGTACAAAGTGTGTTTCATTGCCTTCTGAATACCACAGCATAATATTTTTTTCTTCAAAAATACTATACTTGACTTTGTTTTTAGTATTTTCGTTAAGTTTAATCACCATTAATGAGGGAAATCTTAGTAATTTTTGCTGTTTCAATCCAGCACAAATAGTGAATTTCAAACACGTTTTCCCTTCAATCGGATACTCCGGGTCAATTCCATAATTTTTTCGCATCAACATTGTTTCAAAAATATCAAATTTTCCATTTGCGAGATTTGGAGTTTCGGCTCCGGCGTATCTACGGCAGTTTGAGTAACCGGCTGTCGTAGATGATGGAATAACACTGTCATGTGTGCTCATTAAAAAATTTTTAGCAACAATTCTCGATCTACAATAACGTAGTTCCCTAAGATTTAATGTAATACCCGGTATGATATCATCCTGTTTTATAAAATTTCTTGATTGTAATGGGATACTTTTTCCTTCATATTTTGACATGACTGGCAATTGAGGCAATGGACGCAATGTCACACTCACGATATTCGTGTTTACAAGCATACTTAGAATATTATATTCATGATGAGCTCCTCCATGTGGGAATGTGTATAAAGAATAATCAAGATCATTTAAAAAATAGTATTCGTTGATCGTTTTTTCAAGTTCTTTATCCTTATCAACACTCATGTACGGAGTTTTGTAAATTGAAGTTTTTAAAAAATCATCTATCCCATCTTCTGAATTATTGTTTTTATTTTCACATTTTTTTACATCATTTGCATAAATCTGTATTCCCCAAAAACATAATCTAGTTAACAGAAAGTTAAAGAATGTTTATTAATTAAAAATAAATATTTCTGACCTAAATGAGACAACTTCCAGTAGATAAAGATGAACCATAATGAGTTTCATCATCCCGTTTCAATCGAAACACAGCTGTTTTGTTCATCAAAATATTATAGTAACTATTGACAACGAATGTTGTAAAATGTGTACTATTAATCAGTTCGATATTTAAACTTTTAGTTTCAAAACTTTTGCACAACTTAACGATTCCATATATGAATTTCTGGTTGTCAACTTATATTCGATTAACATCGAAATAATCATCACTCCAAAAATCTATACCATGGAATAACTTTGATGCTGCATCATAAGTTAATTTTTTATGGACAAAAATTTTTGGATATAAATACTTCTTCAGTGATTCAAATAACATACACGTTTTATGAGTCTTCTCATAAGTATATACTATATTTTTCCGTTTTAATGTAACGAGATCCGTTGAACCCGTTAAATATGTCACTGACTATTACTTCACTCGGGTGTTCGTCAAACAAATTAACAGTATCACCTACGCGCAGGTTTTTTCTTTCCTGTCCATTTGCAATAGCAAACAATGCGATGAATAATATTCTAACAAATCTGTTCATTGCTGCGTTTCAATTACGACTGTAATAGAATTATTAATATAAAAAACAGTTCTTTGTTCTTTTGGGTTTTAACAAATAAATTAAAAAACCAATAACAATTTTATTCTGCGAAGATAAGATAATGATTATCAAAATATTTCTTAAAAATAATCTAAGTTATATTTTTAATTGATTTTTTAGTTATTGACATTTAATGACTAAATTCGTGATCGGTGGCGATCCAAAGAGTATCCTTGACATTAAATTTTGTGAAAATTTGAATCGATTCGGTTCGCTAGATTTTGAGAAATCTCAAAAATAAAATTTTCAAAAAATCGTTTTTTTGGAATAACTTATAAACGGCTCCACCGATCAATTCCAAAAACTAATCAGCTCTTAAGCTTAAAAACCACATCGATTGCCACCAGTCCCATCAAAATCGGTTAATTCGTTCGAGAGTTATCGAAAACGAAAAATTTCGAAAAAAGTGTTTTTTTCACATAACTTCGAGATTTCTTTTTGGATCGTTTTTAATAAAATAAAATAATTATTAGAGCTCAAAAAATCAAGTCGATCACCACCAAGAACGTGAAAATTGGTTGATTGGTTCGTGAGTTATCGTTGTCGAAAAAATTCGGAAAACGTGAATTTTTTTAATTTCTCCAAGATTTTTGGTTCTATCAGTTTGTATTCAAAAGTATATCATAGATTCTGAAAAACTACGTAGAATACTGCCAACCACGTGAAAATCGATTCATTCATTTAGAAATTATTGCAGTTTGAAAATTCAAAAAATACTGTTTTATTAAACTTCCATCAGACTTTTGAGCTCGACGAGCTCAAAAGCATAGAAAAGCTATTTCTTTGAGCTTGGAGAGCTTACAGAAACGTCATAAGTGCAATTTCAAGCGTTTAGGTATGGAATTGGCCTGTTGGGCAAGTATTAATTTACTAATTATGGATCAACATTCACGCAATACTCAGCAATTTTTTATTTAATTTTGTAAGTTACAAGTTTTGTCTTGTGCACTTTGAAAAAATGGTGAAAACTACTGTTTTTTTTATCAAATCCTTAACGTTGAAAACTGTTTTTACGTAGGTAACATTGAAAAATAAATCTGAAAGATAGTTGATGCTGCAAGCTATCCCTATAACTTTCTGTTATTTACAAGCTTGAAACGCTCAAAAAATATCCTAATTCGAAATTTTAAGCTCTTTGAGTTTAAAAATACAACTTACTACATTTTTGAACTCGAAAACCTACACAGAAAAAAGAATTGTTTGAATTAAATAAATAATTTTGAAAAACTTTTATCGTCTTGATTTAAGTAGAATAATTTTTAAATTAAAAAATATTTCTTGGTTTAAGTAAATTTTATTTAATTCAAGAATTTTTCGTTTTGATCCAAGTCGATGAAACTTTTCACAATTATTTTCTTGGTTCCGACAAGAAATTACGTTTTGTGAAAAAAAGACTTTTTTTGAAAATTTTCGGCAACGATATCGGTTGAATAAATCAGCTAATTTCAATGCGGTTTTCGGCACTCGAAGTAGTTTCTCAAGCACAGAAACATTTTCTGTACAAAAAATTGATTCGACTAGAAATTCAAAAGTTATTTTGAAACACTTATCTTGATAAAATCGATCAGAATGAAAATCTTAATATAGTAGAGAAAACGAGAGTTTTATTTTTATTATTTATCATGTGTGATATTCATTAAACCGATTAATTTTAAAACTTAACCAGATTTTCTAATGAACCTTTCCGTATTTGATTTCAGAGATGATAAGACAAAGTTTTATTTTCAAACACAAATATACACGCAATCAGACAGGCAACCACATTCAGAATGATTTTCGACGATTTTAAAAGATCTGAACAAAAAGTTCAATTTACTTAGCCGTAAAATGAAACAATTCAATAAGATACTCAGATTGACGACAAAATGTTTTATGTAAATCATTTTGAGGTTGTTTATCACTTTATTCATTCTCGATTTAAACCTCTGTAATTTCTAGTCCATCAATATATGTATAAATGTAATATAATAATGCTTATAATATAATTGTAATATATTGCAATATAATGCTTGTCATACAATGGGAGATTCTATTTCTGTATGCTATTGCTGTCTTTATAGATTTCCGAGTATCCAAATATTGACCGATCGAACCGAACGTATAATTACGTATAATTTCATTGCACAAATGTATATAAGATATGAATATTTTTTAAAGGCATAAATTATAGTCTTCCCAACTAAACGTCTAATTTTCCAAATAATATACTTTTCGTTATATTCGTTGAGAATATATAATCTATTTCCTACCACAAAAATAAACCAATATCTAATCGGAGAGCATAAATGTTCTCATTCGAAAATCGAATAAAATTACATTAAAAAGCACACAATATGTCTCGGGATACGTGGAACTCAGGAACAAGTTATGGACTGATGATATACAAATTGATTATGTGGCCTTTAGGTCTTTGGCCATTAAATCGGGGTAGTGTCTTTTCCGAAATTCGTCTTATTTTAGCAGCGATAACGCAAGTAAGTTTAAAAATTTTATGGATAAAATATCTTGGAAATGCTTTTTTTTTCATTTTTGCACAGGCTTCAACGTGTATTTGTCTTCATATAGAAATTTGGTTAAATTGTCAAGGTCTTGAAGACATTTTGGACATTTTTGTTCTCAGTGTTTTCTCTCTTCTAGCTTGCATAAAAGGATTAATCGTACGTTTTCATCAAGAAAAAATGTACTGCAATGTATCATCAGCTATTGAAGACTGGTTCACACTGCCATTGAACAATAACCTAGAAAATCGTAAGATTATGATGAAGCATGCACGCATTGGTCGAATAGTATGTATATCTTTGATGGCTCCTGCGTCCGGCGGCACACTTTCATGGATAATATTTGCATTGCCACTTCCGATGTTTATTCCTGAAAATTACACTGATGTTTTCAGAAATTACCCTTTACAAACAGCATGTACTTTTCAGTCCATAACGTTAACAGGATTTTACCATATTGTTTTTGTTGTTCAAATCTACCAATTGATCACTACGTGCTTGGGAAATTGTGGAAATGATGTGTTCTTTTTCGGACTAGGAATGCACGTTTGTGGACAATTAGAGATACTTAAAAACGAATTCCGTCGATTAAAAACAACGAATAATAAAATAGAAGATCGAAAAATATTTCAAAATTTGGTTCAAAGACATTCTCATCTTATGAACTTAATTTATAAATTAGAAAGTTCGTTTAACTTGGTTATTCTAGCTCAACTCATTATGAGTGGTATCTTGATCTGCATTATGGGTGAGTGACACGGTAGATTATTTTTCTTTACACTAAAAAACAAAATTACTTTTGATTCAAGAAACATATTTTCTTCAAAATTTCACTCTTGTTTCAAGATCATCAATTTTCTTGATTTGAAAAATCAACTCTTGAATCAATAAATTGAAATTTTTGAATGAAGAGCTTAAATAAGTTCTTTTTATTTTTCTTTTTTCCAAAAAAAAAAAAAAACACATTGCTGGAACAAAATAGTTTTCTTATTAATTTGAAATCCGAGAAATTTCTATGATTTGAAATCAATTAACGAGTTTTATTTAATTTTTTTTTTCAGGTTTACAAGTTATTATAGCTCTGAAAACGAAAAACTTATTTGCTGGAATTAAAGCTCTTGTAGTATTGTCATCATTGATGTCTCAGTTATTTTTATATAGTTATGGAGGAGACTATTTAACATCTCAATGTGAAGATATAGCTTTTGCAGTATATGAAAGTCCATGGCACAAAAGTTCTACAAAAAAAATTAAAGACCTTCAATTCATAATTCTTCGAGCAGAAAAATTAATTTATGTTACAGCTGGAAAATTTTTTTGTATGACTTTAGGAACTTTTATGGATATTATAAAACTATCAGTATCTTACATGTCTGTTTTAAGAGTTGCAGTAGATGTGTGATTGCTGTTCTTTGGATATTTAATGAATGAAATATCTTTCAGTTATCAATTACAACCATATTTATATTAAATTTTACTATGGCGCGTTACATTCCTAGACGATAACGAGACTGATAACAATTTTTATCAATTGTACATATTAAATTTTTAAATATTCTATAGTAAACGTATGCGCATTAGTCATTAGCAACTGTTGTACAATTGATATTAGCATTAATCCTTTCCTATATATTACCGAACTACAGCCTTTAAGTGACTGTAATTAGTTAGAATTTTCCAAAATTTATTAAATTAGAAAAAAAAAATAAACGTAAAATCAGCAAATTAATAAAAGAACTGAATATTTATTCCATTTTTATTGATGTCAATTTTTTTATTTTTATTTCATGCCCAAAAATTATCTGAGAGACGTCAAAAGTGTAAAGTATGACATTGATGTTTTAATCACCTGAAATGTAGAAATACATTAAAAAACAAAATTTTTCTTATTCAAATTAATAAAAAATGTTTGTACCCTACTAAAACTCTCGCATGACATAGTATACATTTTTCCAGCGGAGAGGATGCATGGTTTTCGGCTGCGCATCATAATAAAAATGCTCAGTTTTTTTGTTCTTGTAGAAATATTATACCACTCTCCTAAGTACCTTCAAATGAAAAACATATGAGAACATTTCAGTATTAAGATTAATTTTTTTTATTACTTATGCGGAATAAATCCTATTAGCGCTTGTAACAAGGTAAGTAGCTCTTTACTCATTTTATAATTACAACGTGAATCAAATAGCTATTTGGCCGCTTACTTATTGCGCACAAATTGTACTTGACGCATACAAATAACGATTAAAGCTCCTAAAATTAATTCTAGTGAAAGATTTAAAGAAATACTAATTTAATAATTTATTTAAATCTCTCAACATACACTTCTTTAAAAATTAAGAGAATAAAAAAATTTTTTAATTTTTTGGTGATTTTTGATGGGCAGCATTTTAGTAAAAAATGGTCGTAGAGGAGATCGAAAAAAATTTTTAAATTTGTTAAATTGTTAAATTTGTAAAATTCTAGTTTTCAAATTTTTCAGCTAAAAATTTTTAAGAGCAATGTTTATAAGACGATCCGAAGAAATATCGAAAAAAAAATTTTTTTTTAAATTTATATCAATGTTTTTTTGGGTCCAGAGACTAAGAAAAATTTTTTTCCAGCTAAAATACCATGTGTATCTAATTTGACTAAGGATATTAGCAATTAATGGTTAGTGCCTGGATGACCGAGCTTTGCTCGGTATTTTTAACTTCTTGCTAAGAAAATGGAAAAAAAAGTATTTTATTCCGTTCTTCGAAAATCGAATTCTCATCAGATCTATCTGACGTTTTAAGGTGCTCGGAAGCTTCTCTGAATGTTACCGCGATGTGATGTTCGTATTTCTGTAGGCGCCATTCGAAGGGGCTTTACCGAACTTAGATTTTGAATAAAATTTAGATTGATTTAAACCGGTAGATTTTGAGAAATCTCAAGGAAATCTACACAAAAAGATTTTTTCTCCCCTCCGTGCGGAAAGCGTCAATTTTCCGCCCGCTGCGCTAAACGAAAATGCCGCTTTCCGCCTCCGTCGAGGAGAAAAATAGTATTCTCACCACGGGCAGGAAATAAGAAAGCCTCAGATCACATGTTTGTCGACCTCGGCTTCGCCTCGGTCAATAATTACATGTAATCTGAGACATTTCTTATTTTCCTGCCCTAGGTAAGAAAAATACTATTTCAAATGTGGTTTTTTTGGAATAACTTTTTAACGGCTCTACCGATCGATTCCAAAAACTAATCAGCTTTTTACATAAAAAAACCACATTGATTACTGTCATTCCGGTCAAAATCGGTTAATTTGTTCGTGAGTTATCGTTGTGGAAAGAAAACCGAAAAAAGTGTTTTTTCGGAATTACTTCGAAATTCCTAGTTCGATCAAGTAAAACTTAACGACTCTTTGTGAGACTTAAAAAAAAAACTGCGTCAAATGTCGCCAACCGTGTGAAAATCGGTTCATTTTATCCGTGTGAAAACACGGATAAAATGACATTTTCTAGAAATGAATCCTAGCTAGATCGATTTATCGTCCCCAAAACTCCCTTCATACTAAATTTCATGAAAATCGTTGGAGCCGTTTCCGAGATCCTAATTATATATATACAAGAATTGCTCGTTTGGATATAAGATAAAGGCAATTTGTGGACAGTTTCAGAAACTAAAATAAATTTTAAAGTAAACATGTTTTCAAAAAGTTTGGAAAATCCAAAAGTGCACGACTCATAATGGTCATTTAATAATAAAATATTAAAAAAAAAAAAAAAAAAAAAAAACATAAGTCGTTCAAAATTAGTTGCCGAAAAAACAGCTGTACTAGGAAGGTACTGCACAAGCGCCTCTGGTGGAATAAATGTACATAATATCTATAGATATGTCACCATCCATGTTAATTTTACATGGATATATATAGATATACAGTCTTGTAGTTTTCGTTTTTTATTAATTGTAATTAAACGACACTGAATTAATTAATCATTCGCATTCAGTGACCTACAATCGTCGATTAGAATTTTTTTAAAAAAAATTTAACTCAAATCATGGATTTTTTCACAAGTTACAGTGTTTTCGGGTTTCACACATGACGGACAGGAAAATTTTTTGACCTATTTTGATGTTTTTTTCCGATTCTATTACAGTAAATCAATTTTTAAAAAGTATGGAATTAATCTCCATTAAATTATTTCGACAATAGTATGCAAAATATCTTGATTCCGTGAACTAACAAGGCTATAATAATAAAAATAGCTGCCAAAATGAGGCGAAAAAAATTTTTCGATCGTAAAGCACTCTCTGATGCTTCGGATCATGAGTCGTGCAAAATGGATAATAAAATTTTCTCTTTTTTGTTTTCTTGCTTTCAGATTGACGAGTAGTGAAGATAGTAAAAAAAAAAAAATATTTTTTAAGAAAAATTTGTTAACAAAATTTTTATCTTAATAACTTTTTTCTTCTAATTGTTTCTTACAGAATTTATCGCCGCATTTGTAATGAAAAATAGTATCTGTAACTCGTGCGCCGTTGTTGATTGCCTAGCCGAAGGCGAAATTGAGCACACGATCGAAGTAAAGCAATCAAAAACTGCACACTAGTTGGACAGTATACTATCTCAATAACGAGCTCAAGTAATTACACTAATTGATGAATAGAAAGACTATGATCCAATAACTTTTGGGCTGGCCAACTGAGGAAGAAAAGATGAACAACTTGGCCGATGGAAAATGTACCGAACCTTATCATCTCACCGGTTTCATCCATTTTTATTATAGTCTAGAATAAAAATTTTAATTTTTAACGATCACAATTATAACACTTACGAATAATATCGACGTACTTGGAATCCTGTAATACTTAAAGCCAACATGTTTATAATTACTATAGCAAATAAGCAACTATTGTAGCTAGATTTAAGAATTTGGCAATACCTTAAACAGATAAAATAAGTTTAGTTGTATTAATGTGAGGATTAACTAACCGATTAATCCATTACAGCAACCAACTCTAATATGCTGTTATGATCTTTAATACAGCTGATCATTGATTGATGCGCTTTGTTATCCTGAATTATTTTTCTTTGTTTGCTCCATACATATTTATCATTCGCGGTGTTTTTCAATCGATATCTGCAAATTATAATGCTTATTAAGGGGAATAGCCACCGTGATAAAATAAAAAAAATATTTTTTTTCTTTAAAAAATAACATACCCAACAATTGCAAACATGCTGCAGGCATGACTAACGAAGTTAGCGTACAAAGAATCAAATGCAACGATAATAGTTGAAGGAAATGGACTAATTATATATGCGTGAATCAAAATTGGTATTTCGTACTGCACTGGATCCACAAAATATTCTGTTTGATACAAAGATAACTGCGGCCTTGATTCATTTAGTGGTACATAATAATCAAGTATTTTGGGAACCATGGGTGTAGTCAAAAACATCGCCGTAACAACATAAATGAAATCTTTATTTGTAAATAATGTTATTTATCGCTTTGAATATCTCTGAAGCTTACCGACTGAACGTCACTTACATACGTAGGAATGAGTGATTTTACGGTTTTGATTTCCATATCCACGTAGGATTTTTAACTCTTCTTCTGTCATCGGAGATTCCCAATCCGTTTGAATTGTTGTTAACAGCATTTTTATCTTAAATTAAAAATTTCATTTAATTGGAAAAAAACTTCTGATTTCTAAAAAAGTGTTGCAGAAAATTTCAATTCTCTGCAAACATTTTTAGAGAAATGATACTTAGATTTAATTTGCCGAATCAACCTTGTCTATATTGTAAAGACAATTGCACATCTTTACGATAGTCAAAGAGTGTAATGCGAAGATTGGTGCGCATTCAACAACTTTATTTATATCTCCCCATGATGTTATCAGCCGTATGATCTTCAAATATGAAACAAAAAATAAAGATTATTATAAGAATAATTTGATATTCAAAACTGAAGAGGAATTGGAAAAAAATTTATAAAATTAGTGCATTACAACTATTTTTCTATTTCCCAGATCGAAAAAAAATTTCAATTTTTATATAAAATTTAAGTAAAAATCCTCAAAATTTTAACTTGTTTATTTTCATCTATAAGTATAAAATTTTCATAACATTTGACTTTTTTTAGCTTAGTTACGATCGATTTAAGACCAAAAAAATTCTAATTTAAATCAATATCACTTGGTTTTGTATCAGAGTTAGCTTATTTAGAAAAAAAAAATCACAATCAAGTCAACGTCAATTGGATTTCTTTCAAAGTTAACTCTTCGAGTTCAAAAATATAATTTTTATGTTATCTCTGAAACTAATGGAGCTACAAAAATTATTACTGATTACAGCAATTTTTCTAGGAAGAAATCGTGCTGGATTTAACCAAAATTCGTTGGAGTGTAAATTATCATAACTAAATTATCATCCAAACAATAAACAAAAAATTAAGTCCGTTTTGAAAAAAAATTTTTCTCATAGAATTCAGAAAAATAAAAAAAAATAAAGTTTTAAATAAACATAAGAGGCATTGACTTTATTTTTCTGTTATTTTTATCAAGGACAAACGAAAATAGCTATTAAAAATTTACTTTACTCAGCGGTTAATGACAGTGATAAATTCTATTTCAAAGCGTTTAACTATAGTCTCGACAATTCTCACTTAGTTATCTTATAGATTTTTTTCTACTGAAGACTCAGGTAAGATTTTATTCAAAAAATGCCACGTCAGATTGCTGTAATCATCCTAGCAGGGATTGCATTGATTTTGGGCGTCAATGCAGCACAAGCCGAGCTACCAGCGAACTGCGTAAAATTTGGCGGAACGGTAAGTATAACCCTTTGGCCACCCAAAGTGTGTTGACTTTGATCGTCAATACACTGATTTATTTTGCAGTGTGACATGTATCGTCGTTGCTGCGATGAAAACCTCAAGTGCGACCAGTCAAATACCGTCGGCAGATACGAGTGCAAAGAAAAAGCAAAACTGGGTGACTCGTGCCGAGAAACATTTCACTGCATTGACATTGTGCACTCCATATGTTCGAAAAATGAGTGCGTTTGTCGACAAAACAACGTCAAAGTTAGCGACTATGCCTGCGCCCCAATCTTGAATGGCTACTGTTGGAAAAACGAGACCTGTGTGACGGAGAATTCACTGTGCATTGACAATGAGTGTCAATGCAGAGATGGATTTTTAGCCGAGGCCAACGAGTGTCTGCCAGGTGAGTCACACTTAACTTTGCAAGACATCAGAGTCATTAATCTGTGCTTGCAGTTGTGATTGGATCGAAATGCAGTAACGATGCAGCGTGCTCAAGTGTCAAATTCGCAAAGTGCTCTTCAAACAAAGTTTGTACCTGCTCAGAAAACGCGATTGCAATCAATAAAAGATTGTGCTCGGTACGTTTGGGAGAAACTTGTCAAACTAACGACGATTGTGCTGCCGCCAAATCTCGGTGCGATGACAATAAGTGTCAATGCAGACATCAACATTTTGCCTACTCTGAGATCGAATGTAGACTGGGTGAGTTTGATTTTTAGGAGAGATTACTGCATTGACATTGAATGGCGATGCAGTCAAATATTGACCGTTTTAGTTGACAATGGCAATATTTCCATGACAGTCACTGTAAATACTAAGTGCATTGATCTTGAGGGTCAATACAGCGAGTGAATTATTACTTATGGCTTTTTTCCGCATCTTCCATAGAAATGCCTTGTAATGTATCAAGTCACTGCCGTGTTCATATCAGCAACTCATACTGCATTGACAAAACCTGTCAATGTACACGAAATCACTTGCTGAGGAACGGAAATGCATGCGTCCCAGTGACAGCCTCGTATTGTTCAACGACCGATGACTGCTCGGACCCTGAATCTATTTGTATTGAGAATCGGTGTCAATGCAGGACCAGCTATGTGATGCGGAAGTCAAAATGTCTGCCAAGTAAGATCTTCAAAAATAATATTTTTACAATCTTGTCGAACTTTTACAAACATTGTCAATGTAGCAAAATTGGCTGAACGATGCAGTAAACATTCAGACTGCTCCGAAGTAAAGTTTGCGATGTGTTTAAATGGACAATGCGTTTGTATTGATAAATTCTTCGCTGTCAATGCAACAACTTGCGCAAAAGCTCTTGGTGGGAGCTGCATTACCAATAAAGATTGTACTGTTAGATTCTCTAGTTGTTTTGAACGAATTTGTCAATGCAATCGAGACTACACACAATATTCCGATAGTCAATGCGTTGCAAGTGAGTAACAATAATTTTATCTGATCAACAAAATTATCATCTGACTTGAAAATAATTTTAGTGGAACTAGGGACGACTTGTTTTGACAACAGCACTTGCAATCTGATAAGAAACGCGCATTGCTTTGAGAATCAATGCAGTTGCAAGGACAACCATGTTGAAATAAATGCATTTACATGCTCTCCGTTGCTCAACGCTATCTGCTCCGATGTCCTAGAGTGCGCTCCCACGAACTCGGTCTGCATTGATCATAAGTGTCAATGCAAGTTCAGTTACTTCATGAAGTCCAACTACGAGTGTGTCTTAAGTAAGTCTTAGACGTCAGCTGAGATTTTTTGCTGATTTGCTTGCTTTTAGTGTACTTGGAACAGCGATGCAGAATTGACAAGGACTGCATTGACATTCGCTTCGCAAAGTGTTCTGACGCTGGAAAATGTGTCTGTCATCAGAATTACGTGCGAACTGGCCCAACAACTTGTTCTCCAACTCTGGGAGGTTACTGCACAAGCAACAGGGAGTGTGTCACTATCAATGCAGAGTGTTCCAGGTACCGATGTCGCTGTTCCGCAGAATACATGCAGTTCTCTGTTAACCTCTGCTTACCTGGTAAGTTCCTGAAACTAACCAAAATTGTGCATTGATACTCGAAATATCAACTGCATTGACTCTGAGTGACGATGCAGTAGAATTCTACCTAGTCTGGTTTAGCGGATAACAATTCCCGTTTGTTGGAAATTGATAATTTTCTGAGCGAATCCTTGCAGTGTTCCTGGGACAGAAGTGTAATATGGACGATGATTGTAATAAAATATCAAACGCTGGGTGTTTTAACAAAAAATGTCAATGCAGGCGAGGGTACACAAAGTTCAACCACGAGAATTGCTTGCCTCTGATTGGCGCAAGCTGCACGGAACATAAAGAGTGTGCTGTCTACAATTCTAATTGCGTTAACAATACGTGTCAATGCTTGGAGACTTATGTTCCACAGACTCAGTCCCAGTGTCTGTCGAGTAAGTACTGAATCTTTTCGATTACACCGATTGCATCGTCACTTTTTATTGATACTTTCAGCTGCCCTTGACGTCATTTGCTACAGTAACAATGACTGTGAAATTCTGAATACACACTGTTCAAGGTTTCAATTCTGCGTTTGTAATAAAAATTTCATCGCCATGGACAGTAAATCATGTGTTACTATCCTGGAAGCGGATTGTATTACAAACGCAACCTGCACCACTGCTAATTCCGACTGCATTGAGAACAAGTGTCAATGCAACCAAGGTTTTGTCCGAGGGCTTTACAATGATTGCGTATCAGGTTAGTATAAATATTCACTCGCAATTTTAAGTACAGTCAACTTTATTTGCATTGACGCCTAATCTCAATATAGTTCAAATTATTTAATGTACCTCACATTGTTTGACAAGTTCGTGGCGTATAATCTAAATTATTAGTCAATAGCAAAAATTTAGCCTGCATTGACATTGAGTGTCAATGCAGCTTTCATTTCGCCGATGATACACTTATTATTCACCTTACAAGTGTGTGATTTGTCACTTTGATCTCGAGCTGATGACCAAACTTGGACTGAATTGACACTCGATGTCAATGCAGACAACTATTGTCACTAGACTTTACATTGATTGATTTCAGAGTATGCATTGCGATATTTTAATTTGTCAAAAGACTAAATTTGAGCTGCATTGAGATTCGTTATCAATGCAGTCTTATTTTTGGTCTCATTACTCCTAAAAATTTTATTTATAGCCACGTTAGGCGATGCCTGTGCAACAAATCTTGATTGTAAAAACATACCAAATGCAATTTGCATTGACAAGAAATGTGCGTGCAAACTCGACACATTCGCATTGACCCCGTCAGCCTGTACCCACTTGTTGAACACCAATTGCTCGTCTTCCGCCGATTGCGGCATCGACGCGTCTCATTGCTTTGAGAATAAGTGCCAATGCATTTCTGATTGGACGGCAATCACGGATACGATATGTGCAAAACGTAAGTACAGGCTATTTTATTCGTTGGTCGTGAAAAAAGCTTTACAAAATTGTTCTGCAGGTTTTGAGCTGTATTATTGTAACGATGCACTTGATTGCGGCGAACCGTGGCATTCAAAGTGTTCCCAGAATAGGTGTGTCTGCAACGCAAATCATATGGCTGTCAATGAACTGACTTGCTTGCCAATTCTGGGTGGACCTTGCTGGAAAGATGATCAATGCATGACGAAAAACACACACTGCATTGACTTTAAATGTCAATGCAAGCCCGGTTTTGTTTCTGTGGCTACAAATATGTGTGTGGCAAGCTGAGAAAATGGTAGTTGTTGTTTTTTGTTATTTTGATTGTAAATTAATTTAATAAAAAATGTGAAACTTGAAAAATAAAGATTAGGAAAACGGCTGACCCTGAAGGCCACTCCTGCAACTTCCCGCTAATTCCATACCTAAGCGCTTAAAATTGCACTTATGACGTTTTTGAGCTCTTCGAGCTCAAAATTACTATTTCTGTGTTCTTTTGAGCTCTCCGAGCTCAAAGAGATAGCTCTTCGAGCTCAAAAGTCCGATAGAAGTTTAATAAAACACTATACTTAAAATTTTTAAACCGCAATAACTTTTGGATGAATGAAACGATTTTCACACGGTTGGCGGCATTCGACGGAGTTTTTTATGCCTTATAAAGAATTTTCAAGTTTTAATTGATCGAACTAGGATCTTTGGAGTAATTCCGAAGAAAAACTTTTTTCAGTTTTCTTTCGTTCACGATATCTCTCGAACGAATCAACCGATTTTGACCGGATTAGCGGCAATCGACGTGGTTTTTCAAGAGTAAAAACTGATTAGTTTTTGGAGTTGATCGATAGAGCCGTTTAAAAGTTACTCCAAAAAAATCATATTTAAAAAGAAATTTTTTCTCAGTTTTTTTTAGATTTCTCAAAATCTATTGTTCCAAATCGGTTCAAATTCACAGGAAATCTAAGTTTGAGGAAACTTTGTAGAACGCCGTTTGGTAGATTCCGATCAGTTTAGTCATACTTACAAACACACACACAAACACACACACACACACACACACACACACACACACACACACAACTGATTAGTTTTTGGAGTTGATCGATAGATGCCGTTTAAAAGTTACTCCAAAAAATCATATTTAAAAAGAAATTTTTCTCAGCTTTTTTTAGATTTCTCAAATCTATTGTTCCAAATCGGTTCAAATTCACAGGAAATCTAAGTTTGAGGAAACTTTGTAGAACGCCGTTTGGTAGATTCCGATCAGTTTAGTCATACTATCAACACACACACAACACACACACACACACACACACACACACACACACACACACAAATACAGACATAGTGACAACATCGCGGGGGTAGTCAGGAAGCTTCCTCTGATCTTAAAACGTCGAGATCTGATGAAAATTCGATTTATGCAAAACGGGGTAAAACCAATAACTTCGCGATTTTTGAAAATCTTCGATTTTTTTAGCGGGAAGTTAAAAAAAAGTTATAATTGTGAATAGTAAAGTGACAAAAATGGAAAGTGACATTGAAATATTGTATAGAATCATCAGTGATATATCATGATATGTCCAATTGCCCATGAATATTAAAAAAAAATAATAAATAAATTACTAAGTAACTGGCGATTTTCATACACAGGCATTTCAGCGGTCATCTATTTCATAATATTCAGATGTTATTATTTTTATCATAGCAGTAATTAATTATTAGATGTTGAGATGAAAAGAAAAGCCACAGGACCCCTAGGTATCTGGAAGAATTACAATTTATTAATATGAAATTCGTGGGTTCCACGGGATTCGAACACTGGACCTCTTGAATTTCAGCATTGAACGCATCAGCTCTACATTGATAAAAGGATTTGTTTATAGTTAAAAATATTTGTTAATATTTAACAAATCATTTATTTGAGACCACTTTTTACTCCTTAAGAAATATTTGTTAGTATTTAAAATCAGATTTATTAAATACAAAAAAATCAGTTTAAATACTAAAAAATATTTTTTTAATACTAAAAAGTGGTCTATAATAAATGAATTGTTAACTATTAATAAATATTTTCTAATACAAATAAATCCTTCTATCAGTGTACTATTAGAGAAATTAAAAGATCTGAATTTATTATATCGTATAAACATTTCTTCATTATTAGTCTCCCGTTAAATTTAAGTAAAGAAAAATCAATAAAAATCAAGATCTCAAATAAAATCGTCCGCAAATTGACGATTTCAAAGGAAATTGAGTCAAACCAAGTCAGTGTTTATTCCTATCATTATTGTCTTTCATATAAAACAACACTGATAAAAAATTTAACTTGATTCAAAAGAAAAAATCTTGAATCAAGAATACCATTTTGAAGAAAATAATTTTCTTGTGTCAAGAGGAAAAATTCTTGAATTGAGAATAATTTCTTCACGGTGAGAAATTTCTATTATTTTTTATGGTGCATATTACTAGTGAACCTTATTGACTCAGAATGAAATTTTACAATGGCCCATAGTAATTTCCGAAACAAATGAAATCAGACATAGCAAACGGTAGAAATTGAAATGTACCATAGTAAAATGAAATATGCAATAATTTAAATTTCCGAATAATTTAAATTTACTATAGCAAAAAAAATAAGAAAATGTTTGTAAAAAATAAAAAATTTTAATTAAAAAATATTTTTAGCAATCAAAAAAAATATCAAACCAAACAAGATTTTTTTTTTTGTTTGTAATAATTTTTAAAAATATTTTTTTAAAATATAGTTTTTTTTTATTTTTTTTCTATTTTTTTTTTTATTTTTAACAATTAACGTAGGATTTATTTTGGCAGTTAATTTTATTATAATTAATTATAAACACAATATATAACTTTTCCATTATTTTTTATTATAATAATAATATATTATTAGAAAAGTGTCGGTTGCAGGTTAACTATCAAATGTTTGTTTTCATCTTAATTTTTCACGGTAAATTATTAAATATTTTATTATTTGGGAATCTTACAAATTTTTATTAATTATTCATATGTTGATGGATTTATAAACTAATATTTATTTAAAACAATGTTTATTGCAATTAACATATGAATAGTTAATAAAAATTTGTAAGATTCCTAAATAATAAAATATTTAATAATTTACCGTGAAAGATTAAGATGAAAACAAACATTTGATGGTTAACCTGCAACCGACACTTTTCTAATAATATATTATTATTATAATGAAAAATAATTTAAAAGTTATATATTGTGTTTATAATTATTTATAATATAATTAACTGCCAAAATAAATCCTTCGTTCAAATTAAAAATAGAAAACAAATAAAAAAAACTATATTTTAAAAAAATTTTTTTAAAAATTATTACAAACAAAAAACATCTTGTTTGGTTTGATATTTTTTTTTGATTGCTAAAAATATTTTTTACTCTAAAATTTTTTATTTTTTACAAACATTTTCTTATTTTTTTTGCTATAGTACATTCGGAAATTTAAATTATTGCATATTTCATTTTACTATGGTACATTTCAATTTCTACCGTTTGCTATGTCTGATTTCATTTGTTTCGGAAATTACTATGGGCCATTGTAAAATTTTATTCTGAGTCAATAAGGTGCACTAGTAATATGCACCATTGTAAAATTTAAAATCCATGCAGAATAAAAAATAATAGAAATTTCTCACCGTGTATGTAATTAGAAACCTCAATATGGATAAATTTTTTCCAGAAATTTTACTAAAAGAAAAATAGCTAAACAATGAAGCTATAACGCACGCTCACTAAAAATAAATTTTTTTTCTCTATTAATAAGCGTAGAAATCAACGCTTATTCAAAATGAAACGAAAACAAATCAATACCGAGAAAAAGAAAAAATAAACTGAAACAAATCAATAAAATGGTTTACAACACTCGGCACATCGTCCATGTAATTTCCAAGGAAAAAAATAAAGAGGAATTATTGTTAAGAAATTGAAAATTCAAAAGTAAAGTAATATATGTTATTAGCAAGAATTTCAGGAAATTACGCTTACCTCGGGTATAAATATACTTGTAATTAAAAGAAATATGGCCATCCTAATTATTTTCCGGATTTTAGGTGATTGCAAAGGCCATGCACCAAAACATGACAGTAAAAATTTAGTTAGTTTCCAATTCGAGTTATCGAAGAAAGTCATACTTGTTTCAAGTTCACTCCGTAGACTGAATATTGAAACTTTTACTAAGTTGCGCAGACCCTTAGTTTCAAATAATTTAAAATTCTATTTGTAGTACTTAATGGCTACATCAAAAAGCATCTACTTTTGAATGCAATCTCTAAAGACCGTTTGTGCTATAGACTTGCGTGTCTTGTTTTACTTATTCTGTGTACTATTTTGCAGTATATTTTATTTCTACGAATTGAAATACGACAAAATGAATTTAAATCAAACTAAATTTGATATCAACTTTCACAGAAAAGACCAACTTTATTGCGGTACTTGTTCGCAAGGAATGTTTCTGTAATAACGAAGAAACTGCAATTTACTAAAATTTTTTTTGAACAATTCCTGGACAACAATTGTATATTTTTGGTTACAATTTCGTGATTTTGAAAATACATTACACAGAAAAATTTTTTACTTGAACCAAAAAAATTAACAAGGAATATCAAAGTCGTATTACCCTAAATAAACTTTTTTTCGTAGCAAAAAAATTTTTTTCATTCTTGAAAATTTTATTTCGTCCAAATAATAATGATTATTGTTTTCATAAATATGTTCTTCAGTTTCGGAAATTTTATTAACTACCCAACAATTGATTATTTCTATATACAACAATGTTGTAAAAATCTAACAGATAACATGGGTAAGTAAAATATTCTATTATATCATATAGTAAACAAATATTTTCCGATGGATCGATAATTAAAATTTTTTTAGTTTGTAAAACGACAATTCTATTTTTAAAATTTACACATGCGTCGAGACTCAACAACTACAATAAAGGTGATTAATATAATAAACAACTTAATTTATAGATGTAATATTAAGCGTGGTAACTATTACTAAATTGATTACCAAACTAAACTTCTAAAAACTTCTATATTACTTTCAGTTGATAAATGTATTACCTATTGTTAGAAGGTTATTGAAAAAAAAAAAAAAAAACCAGCGAAGATGTATCTGTTTTTCATGAAAATCCACCAATTAAGAGAAAAATCTGAAAAACGACGCATCAAAAACTTCTCTCACTAATTTTAAGCTCATACTGAGGGTATAAGTATCTACTTATTAAAAATTATTGAGCTCTGCGAATTTCTGTAATGTAATTTTTAATTTTGCACACCTCATAATACAAAGCAGTTGATGTAGTGCTATACTCCCGAGACATCCAAGTCTAGCAATTTTGTGATCTTCGAATGCCTCTATCACAACCATATTACACTAATGCGATAATATGAGTATACGTACATCGAGAAAACACTTTAATTAATCCATCTTATAGTTTATAAAAATCATTTTATGTTGCTACTTTGAAAAAAAAAAAATCTGGAAAACGGTTGACCCTAAAGGCCATCCCTGCAACTTCCCGCCAATTCCACACCTAAATGCTTGAAATTGCACTTATGACGTTTCTGAGCTCTTCGAGCTCAAAAATACAATTTGTGTATTATTTTGAGCTCTCCGAGCTCAAAGAATTACCTCTTGTATGCTTTAGAGCTCTTCAAGCTCAAAAGCCTGATAGAAGTTTAATACAACAATATTTTTTGTATTTTCAAACTGCAATCATTTCTAAATGAATGAATCGATTTTCACGTGGTTGTCAGTAATCCACGCACTTTTCAGAATCTATGATAAACCAGAAGGAAGAGCGGCAGCTAATTCCTCCCCCCGCGAAGAAATGCCTTACGGCGGTACCATGGGGGATCAGAGGATAGAAGAGAAAGGGGTTTAAGGTTTAGTGGGTAGGGGCGTCAGCGTCAAGTTTTTAGTATGACGCTGCGTCGAGTCGCCACATAGCTGGGCCAACATCTATGCCTAGAATCCGTAAAAAGGATCCCCCCCCC